AAAAAATAAAAATCATGTTAAAATAAAAACCTTCTGAAACCATTGAAGAGCCACAGATTTGAGATTTATGTAACTCAAGTGTATACCTTAAGTACGTACATTGATCTATACTATAAGTCAAAGGCTGAATATGAGGTATCAGATACTAATGCGCTGTATCCCAGATTAGAACTTGCAGGAGAAAAATGGCAACAGAGGAAGTATTTTAAGTCACAGAAAAGAAGAGTAATTTAGGGAAAGAAACTGACCTGATGCTATTATTTTAGTCAATGCCTGAAAAAATAAGCCCCCTCAGGAAGAGATAGAGATAGAGAGATAGAGAGAGAGAGATACAGAAACAGACAGACAGACCTGCATAGGCAGATTTACCAGTAATGTCTACCTTAGGAGACTTAGGTAACAGAATACTGATAAATGCTAGGGACATAAGATGAATTTTAAGTATCCACTCTGGATAATAATTACTAAAGAGAAAACCTGGGAGGGGAAAATCACAGATTTGCTGCTCCCAAGGTACCCTGCAGTTATGTGATTAGATCTCTCTAAAAGCAGGATTAGGAGCATAACAAACTTACATAGAATTTCTCCATTAAGAAATGTATTCAATTGGAAATAGATTACCACTGGTCCTGTTGAAAGGAGAAAAAACAAATAAACCAAATTTTCTTCTGGACTGTCTTTCTCCTGTATTGAAGACTTAACATGAAAGTAAGTAAAGGTTTGAATAACAACTTTCCTTGAAGTTGGTATATGATAAAAATATAAACAACGTTTGTAAATAATATTTGCCTCTGAACTTCCTAAGTGACCACAGAGAACATGGTGATTCTGGTTAATTATTCTAACTAAGGCACACCATTAACATTTAGGCTTTAGTTATAAACATATCCTAAAATGCATAGGGATTGAAGTTTCTCCAATCTTAGAAATAAGCTTATTCAAATAAGATTATTGTACTAGATATTGCGCTGTTATTTAAAAATACTGGTCAGGTACTTAAGCTAGCATCACTTATGCCTCTGTTGTCCTGTTTTGCAGAATTACATTACACATCTGTCAATAAGTGTAAATTGCTTCCTATGGTGGAAAGGCTTAAGACCAACAACTGTTGACCAGTTGAGCAGAAGCCTGTTGGAGGACATTCAAGTGTTTATTACCCAAAGGCCGCATAACTATCCACCTATCTACCTACTCATGAATCAGAATTTTTAAAATATCTACTGTGTTCAATGTGTTAACTTTTAGTTTGTCAACTTACATGCTTCTTTAACTTTATGACACATCACTTAAACCCAATAGTTTGTCATGGACACTTCATCTTGATAAAAGGGAGATAAATTACAATCTAGGGTTTCCACAGAAATTATACCTGAGGAGTCAAGAACTTGTGGCTCTCCCTGTTGCATTAATAAAATCTTTTGTTTAAAGATTTATTACTTTCATTTTAAATTACGTGATGTGTCTGGGAATGTGCATGAGAATGCAGGTGCCTGCAGAGGCTAGAGGCACATGATCCCTCAGAGCTAGAGTTACAGGTGATTGTGAGTGCCTGATGTGGGTGCTGGGAACCAAAGCTGGGTCCTCTGCAAGAACAGCATGTGTTCTTAATCACCACTGGGCCATCTCTCCAGCCCTGCATTAATAAAATCTTAATCAAAACTAGTTTATCCACTAGCATTTCATTTCCAGCATTTTTAAATTTAAAAAACTTTTATTGTGTGTGTGCATGAGCAAATGGGCGCAGAGGGATGTGTGTGTCATTGCATGGGTGTGGAGGTCAGAAGACACCCTTCAGGAGTCAGTTCTTTCCTTTTACCACGGGTTCCTGGGATTGAACTCAAGTCATCAAGATTGTGCAGAAAGTACTTTTTTTACCTACTGAGCTGTGACATTTGTAGAAAGTACTAATACATTTTAATATTGCCTCAGTATTTTTTTTAGAAGTCAAAACAGGACAAATTAAGCAACAGAATTTGCAGATGACTAAAACAATAAAAATATGAGTGGAACCTTTTCATTGTTATTGGATGCATCAAGCAGTAGTTGCAGATTAACAGAATGAGTTCTAGAGTTCAGATTCCCACTCCACCATTTAACTAGGCTATAAAACATTCAGTTATTTATTGCCTCTAATTTTCAATTTATTCCTCTGTAAAGTAGAGCTATCAATGCTTCTTTGAGTTGCTTTGAGGAGTAAAGATTACTATATATTCATAACAGGTGACTGGCACCTAGAGTTTATTTTAAAGGTATATTTGTTTTTATTAGTTTCATTTTCTTCTCAAATGAAATGATTTTAAACAGTTTAAAAATTCGTTGCTTAAAAACATAAATTGGCAATATCTTTGATTTGGGCCTTTATTGGTTATAAATTTGTCTAATAAAGTAGATTCTAGTATTCACAAGAGACCAACAAAAATTTTAAGAGAATTATATTGGCAGATACACCGCAAGCTTGGGCTTAAAGGTTAGGTTACAAAAGAAAAAGATGCTTCTGAATTCTCAAAAGTTCCTTAGGAAGAAGCAGGTAGAGAAAATTGTAAACATAGTATCTTTCAAGAAAAAGGAAGGATGATTCAGACAGTGGAACCAAGAGCCAAGAGTCATGGTGATACATTCCAGTAGACTGAATCCTCACCAAGACACTTCTAAATGCTTATCCTGATAGATTTCATGATTACTTTCAGTCAGGGATTCTTTGGTACTCATTTTCCCCCAAACTCCAAAATTTTCTGGTTTTGAACAGGAATGTCTATAATAGTTTCTTTATGCCTATACCAAGACTGGGTCTATGGGGGGTTGGGGGGCAGGTAACTTGATTCTTTATAGTTAATAGAAATAGAAAAACTATACACAATGAGTTCTAGCTAAGAAACTACTCCCTGAGGAGGATTATCTGCCCCTAGACCAAATTTAGATGAGATTCTGGATTCAAGCCTCTGCATATGAATGCCAAGCTGGCTTGCGGCTATCTGGACATGGAGAGACTGCTACCTTAGACAGCAGGGGTCCCCAACAGTGGTTAAGAGCACTTGCTGCTCTTGCAGAGGACCTACATTTGGGTCTCAGCTCCCATATGGTAGCTAAGAATCATCAGTAACTCCAGTTCCAGGGCGGATTCAATTCCCTCTTCTGGCCACCTCCAACACTGCACACATGCGGCGTGCTTACATACATGTAGGCAAAATACTCATACACATAATAAGTAGAGAAATGACCATTATATGCCTGTCGTACCCCATTATTTAAGTATCCAAGGCATAAATAAGATTAATACATTTAACTTAATTTACAAAAGGAAACACAAGTATAAAAATGAAATAATATACTCAAAGTTATGATGTCCTCAGTGTGGGAAATACTATGAAACACATACTCTGGCATAGGAACGTAGTTGAGTACTTCTTTCATTTAAATGCTCGATTTTCACTGAAGACCCTTTTTGAAGCATTTCCTCAAGAAATGTCAGTATTTTACAGTTTTGACCAAAATTTAATTATGATTTTATTCTTTCAATTACTTTCTAGTATATTTCAGAATAATCATTTGATAAATTAGTTCTCAAATATGTGTGTTCTTTTGAGTAGAAAATAAATGAATTTGATATAAATAACTAACGTGTCCTCGTATTTAGAAACAGAAAATCAGCTTTGAGTGCAGTAAGGCCCTGAATATGTACTCCCTCATCATCCTCTCTCTGGTAAATCTCTGCTCCATATAAAAAGGGTTTCTTTAAATTGGGCATTATACTTTTAAAATTCCTCAAACTTTGCACTGCTTTTGTAACTTGTATTTCAAACTTTCATCAAGGTCCTTGGTATGGGAAAATACTCAGAATGGAATTCCCCTTTGGCTTTAGAGTCAACTCCTGTGATTAATTTACAATGACACATAACAAGAATGATTTACCAGGCCACTTCAGGCAGCTTGATGCCCTGTGCTTATTTTAGTACCTAAGTTGGAAACCTAATACAATCCTAACCTCGATACCATGTGCCTCTGTTTGCTAACTTTGCTTTAAGAGTCTTATAATCTTCACTATGAATAAGCTGATAAATTCATTTGGCATCTGAAATCAAGCTATCCTTTCATTTTCCACCCCTTACATGTGACCAGTGCAATTTCACTAAAGCTTTGGAAGAAAATTAACAAATCACTTCAAAATGATTTAAGTCTAGATATTGCTGTGAAGACAAATTTTTAATTTAAGTGCAATTTAAAATCCAGTTGAAAAAAGAAAATCCACTTTAAAATATATTTTATTATTTATATTTTTGTGTGTATGAGTGTAATGCCTGCATGTAGGTAGGTGTACCTGTGGTCCTTCAGTGCCTGAGTTGGTCAGAAGAGGGCACTGGATCCCTTGGAACTGGAGTTACAGGTGGTTCTTAGCTGCCGTGTGGGTGCTGGGAACTGAACCCAGGTCCTCTGCAAGAGCAGTCAGTGCTCTTAACCACTTGAGCCATCTATCCAGCCCTATAATCCACTTTTAATCTAGTTGATTTGGGGTGTGCACACATACATGTACCTCATGAGATATATTACCATTAGGCTGCCGAAGCACAGTACTTAACAAAATCCTGAAGTCTTTCTATATTGTTGTGAATGTGATGGTATGCAACAGAAAAAGAAAATGTGTACATGGATATACCTAACTTATTTCCTGGTTCTTTTAACTTGAGTCATACCTCTCCTTTCTTCTCAGATAGTCAGTCTTAACTGTAGACTGACTCAGTAGAATTGCTGGTCTTCCTTTAGAAGCCTTACACCCAGAAAACACACAAAGATAGTATGTGCTCAACAACCGAAACAACACTACTTGCTATTAAAGCTTTGCATACAAATCTAGAAACTGAATGTTCATTTCTCCTTTAAGCAGATGGTCACTCCTCCTCCACCCCTTCTTTTACCTAAAAGTAGTTTGAGCTGTCTCCTACCTCATTATATGAAGGATTCCAAAAAGGAAGAAAAATTACAGGTTCATAATTACTTCAACTCACAGGACTCTGCAGAATCTGAGTAACTCGCTTCCTCTGCTCCATCATATTGAAGTCTTGTCGTAGATCAGGAGACATGTTCCTTTCTCGAAGATATTCTGGATCATTTTCATTGATCCGGTCAAAATATCTCTCTTTGTGCGGCATGCTAGGAGGAGGAGGAGTAGTGATCACAGCTTGGCTGGTATCTGAACTCATGTTTCAAGTTCTGTTCTCTAAAATAAACACAAAGACAGGAGGACATTTATTACAAATTCCTTATTAAAATAAAAGTTTATGTGAACTTTTGGACTACCTAGAACATTCATTAACAAGTAGCTTCATGGAGAGGGGGATTACTTGAGGGGATGGCCCACTGGTAGAGAGAATTTTCCTAGCACACTCATGGCCCTGGTTTAGATCCCTAGCACTCAAAACAAAAATTTTTTTAAAGAAAGCAGCTTCTCCAAAAATATTACAAAACCTTTTAATTCAGGAAAAAAATATCTTAACTATGTGTGGTAGCACAGGCCTACAATTCAAGCACTTGGACCTTGAAATCAAGACAAGCCTGGCTTACCTGGCCAGACCCTGTCTCAAAGAACAAAAACAAACAAACCACAAAACAGGAAAAGAAAGACAATCTTAGATCATAATGCTAAGTTAGAAATAGTTATTTTCATAGCTAATGGAAACTTATGGTACAAATACTGAATTTTTGATAGAAGCAATGATCAAAATATCCAAAACTAAAATGTCACCAATGATGGTATGCTGGTTTGAATGAAAATGTCCCTCACAGGCTCCAAGTATTTAGACATTTTGTCCCCAGTTGGTGGCGCTGTTTTGGGAGGTCTTAGAAGGTGTGGCTATGCTGGAGGAAGCATGTCACTAGGGGTGGGCTTAGAGAGTTCTTAAGTCTTGCTGGATCACCAGTTGCTCTATTGCTTCCTGTGCCTGCTTGAAGATGTAGAGCCTGGCTTCTGCTCCTGCTCTAGCCACCTCCTGCCACGATGCATCCCCACCGAGACAGACTGTAGGCTCAAATAAACTCTTCCTTCTGTAAGCTGCTTTGGTCAGTGTTTCTATCACAGCAACAGGAAAGTAACTAATAGAGATGGCAAGTTTTTATAAGCAGTAAAGTACCATCAGTGGATTTCTCTGACTCATGCTTTTATGTCAGACCAGAATTTTGCCCCATTTAATGATCCTTACATTCCACAGAGTATAAAATGTACTGACACATGAAAGAGACAACAAATTTTTTTCAAATTATTCAACTTCCCAAGAGAACGTCAGAGTTGCAAAGGATGCCAGACTATATAACTTCCACAGATGGCATTTTAATTCCAAGTAAGAAACAATAAAAACATCTTCAAAGGTCACATGAATAGTTATGACTCACTTAACTGTTATAATTATTACTAATACAGAGGATAGCTCTTGACTTAATACTATCAAGACAAATTTATTTGGGTTTTACTAGTGCTGGAACCAACTATAACTAGATCAGTAGGACAGTCACTTAACTTTGCTCTTCAATTTTGGATCCAATGTGTCAGAGGCTACTTCAGTGCTCCTCAAACTGTCCAAGAAAGACTTTTTCCAATTCTCTACAGAGTGATATAATAAAATACAAAATAATGTACTTACATATAAAAGTACAAGAAAAATTTATAAATGTTTGTTGTTACATTGTGAACTTGTTACAGACTGAAGGAAGAAACAGGAAAGGATGCCTTATTGGGTAAAGGCTTTGAGTAATGAGAAAATTCTGGATCAAGATAGTGGTAGTGATTATATAACACTGCAAATGTACCTAATGCCATGGTAATTGTGCACTTATTAGTTAAAACAGTAAATTTTACCACAATTTTAAACAGCTTCAAATAGAATACCAATTTAAATGTAAAGTTACAAAATTTTTTTGGAGGGGGTGTACTAAAGACTGAACCTATAGCCTTGTACAGACTAGGTATGGTGGTTTGAATGGGAATGTCTTCCATAGGCTCCAAGTATTTTGGACATTTTGTCTCCAGTTGGTAGTGCTGTTTTGGGAGGTTTTAGAAGGTGTCACCATGTTGGAGGAAGCACATCACTGGGGGTGGGCTTAGAGAGTTCTTTTTAAAAAATATATATTTATTATTTTTATTTTATGTGTATAAGTGTATTGCCTGCATGTATGTGAGTGCACCCATGTCATGCAATACATTGGAGGTCAGAAGAGGGCTTCGGATTCCCCTGGAACTGGAGTTAAGGATGGTTCATGGCTGCCATGTGGGTACTGGGAATTGAACCTGGGTCCTCTGCAAGAGGGCTTAGAGAGTTCTTAAGCCTTGCTGGATCTTGAGTAGCTCTCTTGCTTCCTGTGCTTGCTTGAAGATGTTGAGAGCTTAGCTTCAGCTCCTTCTCCAGCCATCTCCGCCTCCATGCCTCCCCACCATGATGGACTGACTCTTGCCCCTTTGGAACCATAAGCTAAATAAACTCTTCCTCTTATAAGTTCCCTTGGTCATGGTGTTTCTATCACAGCAACAAAAAAGTAACTAAAACAATAGGTAAGTACTCTACCACTGAGCTATATCCTTATTCCTAAACCTATGAAACTTTTACCAAAACAAATACATAAACGAAAAAGAATCAAACAAATTTTCAGGATCTAGAGCAAGACAGAATTCTTTAATATCAAAACCATGAATTGGACTCTATCAAAATTTAAAATGTTTGTTTGCAAAATATACTGTTAAGAGAATAAAGAGACAAGATATAGACCATGAGGAAATTGCATATCTAATAAAGTTAGACTATGTACAGAATATATAATAAACTCCTAAAAGTTAATAGTAAACAAACAAATACTTCAGTTAGAACTGGACAAGACACAGACATTTCACCAAAGTGGAGATACATGTAACAAGTGTGCACACGAGAAAATGTCTGATATCACTCACTAGTCATTGAGGAAACAGACTAAAACCACAACGATTTATCACTACATAAGTTTCACAATGGTTAAAATAAAAATAGTGACAACTCCAAATGCTGGAAAGATGTAAAGAAACCAGATTCCTCATACATTGTTAGTAGGAATGCAAATGGTACAGTTGTTGTGGCAAATGGTTTGATATTTTCCTGAAAAACACATATGCAACTTTTGCATACCATAGCAATTATAATCCTGGGCATTTATCCCAGATAAAGAAAACCAGTTCATACAAAAGTCTATATACAAATTTTTATAGCATCTTTATTTATAAGCAGCTCTGAACAGGAAACAATCTACATGTTCTTCACCATATGAATGGCTAAAACATGATATATCCAAATACTACCTGGCAAAAATAGGATGAATTACATGTGTGTGTGTGTGTGTGTGTGTGTGTGTGTGTGACAGCCTGAGTAAATCACCAGTATATATATATATGGCAAGTGAAAAAAATAATCCCCATATAGACCTACTGTTCCTAAAGGAAGGTGGCTCATACATGGCCTTAGGTGAGGTTTACTGTTTTTATGCCAATAACTCAGGTGTAAAAAGTTTTCCTGGGCCTCTGGTAACATTCCTCCTAGCCTTTACGGTGGGCCCATGCCTCCTAAATTGCCTAACTGGATAGATCAAGAGGTGCCCAAATGCCATCAAAATTAGCGTTCTAAGAACCCAACATGAGCCTCAAAATCAAAACAAGTCAAAGATTTGACTTATGTCCCTGAGCCAGTGGGGAATGTAATACCCTGAGCACCTCCATTTTATGTAAGTTTAACTGGTCAATCATCTGGCCACTCCTAGGAAGGCGGGTTATACTAAATAGATGGGCGGAATACTTAGTGCATTAATGAGATAGCAACTTTTTCCTGCCCGTAATCTTGCCTATGGGTGCAGAACTTCCTAGCCACAGCCATGTAGTCACGGAAGTATAATTTCCCTTTTTCTTCTTCATGCCTTTCTTACTAAACATGCTTTCCTTAAGGCTTTGGGCTACCCCTGGCATCTTGCATTTCTTTACTTTTTCTCTAAAGCTTCCTTCTCCCAGCCATGCGGCTGCCAGTCAGCCATGTGTCTGACCCCCCCAGTCAGGTTCCATGGCTTTCCTTCTTCCTACCATTCACCTCCTCAGGGCAGCTGCCAAAATTACCAGCTTGCCTTCCCTGAGGATTTCTTTTTCTTTTGGCTTTGTGGTAGATTTTTTTAATAGCTACAAGAATTCTTCCCAAACTTCTTTGCAATGGAACTTTGCTACTCACTCCATTAGGGAACGAAGACTATTTCCCTACCTCCTGAATCTGGTTTCAAACTTCTGTGACCATCTTTGATTAAAAGAATGTGGCAGAAGTGACATTATATAACTTCCAGGTTAGACCTCTGAGATTCTTAAGAGTTGCAATGCTACAAAGAAATCCATTAGGAAAATCATGAAGAGAGAGACTGCTACCAATAAAAGCTAACTCCATAGAGATTCCACTAGTACACACAGCAACATGAACCCACGTGAAAACATGTTCTGCCAATATAGAAAAATTCCAAGTTGCTGGGACACAAAGCTTTGAGATGTTTTTTGGTTTTGTTTTGTTTTCTCCCTTGATGATAACTGGGGATGAACCCAGGGCCTTGCATATGCTAAGCAAGCACTGTACCACTGAGCTATATTCACAGTCCTTTTAACTTTTATTTCTGTATTTCAAACAGAGAAGATCTCACTAAGTTGCCTAGGCTGACCTTGAACTTGCAATCTCCTTGCCTCAGCCTCCAAAATAATTGAGATTATAGGTGTGTACTACTGCACCTGACCCTGTTTTTCTTTTAAACATAGCCAAAGAGTGCTAAAATATAAATATAAATTGGGGCCCAGAAGTGGGGTGCTGTATTTAACAAAACCTGAAACCATGTGGCTTTGGAGTTATGAGTGGGAAGTATATAAGTAGAGGCTGATAAGTCAGCAGACCTTTACTTTGGGCTGAAGAAAGAATGATGCTACCTAGTGATGGCACAACTGGCAAGGTCATGCTAGTTCACTAGAAAACAAGAAAACACACTTAAAAATATGATCTGGCTAAGGAGATTTCCAAGCAGAATGCTTAATCATGTGAGATTTATTCTAAAAACATTTATTTTGATGTAGTTATATATAAGAAATAATACAGACATCCCTTATGTTCTTTTCCACTTTGTTCAATGGCAATACTTGGCAAAGCTACATTACAGCATCACAACCAGGATGGTGACAGTGACACGATTAAG